CCTCCCGGGTTCAAACAATTCTCCTGCCTCAGCCTCCTGAGTAGCTGGAATTACAGGCACCCACCACCACGCCCGGCTAATTTTTTTTATTTTTAGTAGAGGTGGGGTTTCACTGTGTTGGCCAGGATGGTCTTGATCTCCGGATCTCGTGAAACCCCTGCCTCATCCTCCCAAAGTGCTGGGATTACAGGCGTGAGCCAGCGCGCCCGGCCGTTTACATCCTTTTTAAAATACCACTCTTTTCAGCCTACCTTATAAACTACCAGACTTGACAGTCACTCCCATCATTCCAAAAATCTTTAGTGCTTCCTTATAACCCATGAATAAAGCATGATGCTAACCTCTCCTACCATGAGCTGGCTACTCTGCTCCAACCAAACTAAGTTATTTTCTTTCCCTCAAGGAGGGATGCCTGAGCTAAATGTCACTCAAAGAACATTAAAATACACTTCCTTGGCCGCGCTCGATGGCTCACGCCTGTAATCCCAGCACTCTGGAAGGCCAAGTGGATCACCTGAAATCAGGAGATCGAGACCAGCCTGGCCAAGATGATGAAACCCCTGTCTCTGCTAAAAATACAGAAATCAGCCAGCATGGTGACAGGTGCCTGTAGTCCCAGCTGCTCGGGAGGCTGAAGCAGGAGAATCGCTTAAAGCTGAAGTGAGTGGAGATCGCCCCACTGCACTCTGCACTCCAGCCTGGGCGACAGAGTAAGACTCCATCTCAAACAAAAACAACAAATACACTTCCTTGATTAAATCGTTCCTTTGCATTCCCATTAGGACCTCTCTTCCGGCACTGACAGATAAACTGCCGCCTCATCTTCTCTGCTAGATTGGATTTCCTAGCAGAGAATGAATGCGGCCTCATCATTTGCCGATTCCACGCGTAAGTGCCCAGGCCATCTCGGCGAATTGAGCTAAGTGCCCAAGATTGCGCTGAACAGGACCCAGAAGGCAGGGCGCAGGAACTGCTTCCGGCCGGTCCGGGCTCCCGTCGGGCCCTGCGCTCGCGCTGCATGCCGGGACCTTCCGTTCGGAGCCCGCGGCAAGGCCTACCCAGCAGGCCGCCGCGCTCGCCCGCGATGACGCCTAAACCAGTCCCGCCAGTCCCTACTCCTCCTCAGGAAAAATGCTGTCCCGCAGCACTTACTGGAGCGACCATGAGGGTGACGAATTCGAGCACACACAGGCTTCCCGCCACCTCCTCTAAAACGCCGCTGGCACGCCAAGGACAGACGGAGCGGTTGGCTCCCCAAAATTCCGACTGATACGCGCCTAGGCGAACAAAAGCAAACGCGGGATGCTCTCGCTCTCCTGATTGGCTGGTTGGGGACACCTCAATTAGTGACAGAAAGGGGCCGGGCGGGAAAGTTAGCTGTGGCCGGCGGGGATTGGCAGAGGAACCGATACTTACTCGTTTTTCCCGGACGTTGGCTGGTGGAGAAGCGAGGCTGGGGCGCTGGGGCGCTGGGGCGCTGGGGCGTTGAGGCGACGCAACTCGTGATTGGCGGGTGTGCCTTACTTAGGGCTCTACGGATTGACGACTGGCCGGTTGCTTGGCGCTGATTGGGCAGCCGCAGGAAGGCTAAGGCGGGGGGAGGGGCGGAGGTGCTTTGGACCCGCCCTGCCGTCGGGACCCACTGGCGGAAGGGGAAGTGGGGGGGCGGGCCACCGTGGGGAAGATGGCGTACCAGAGCCTGCGGCTGGAGTACCTGCAGATCCCACCGGTCAGCCGCGCCTACACCACTGCCTGCGTCCTCACCACCGCAGCCGTGGTGAGCAGCCTCAGTGCTGAGGCCACCTTCCCGTTATCTGGGCTGGATATGACTGGGTCTTCAGGAAACTGCGGTTTGGGCGTTGGGGAGGTCCAGAGGGGCTGGTCCCGGTGATGGGTGGAGGCATACAGGGATTACTCAGGAGTTCTAGTTGGTGCCGAGATAGAGTATCCAGTGACCTGAGAAGGGAGTGCTGCTTCATGGGGGGTATGGTCAGTTTCTGACAGATGAGGGCCGGACCTGTAGTGGGTTAGGGTTGCGGGAGCCTCCCACCCAAGAAATGTGTCCGAGAGCTCTGGTGATGGCCAGGTGGTACCGTGGTGACTAGTAAGAGGAAGGTCCGCTTAGGAAAGAAACAGGAATGAGGAAAGCAAGCTGGAAACTGTCTAGAGGAGAACAGCTTATAATAAAGAGGGTCTTTGTATAATAAGGGGCTGGCTGGAGGTACCCAGCCCTAACGGTGGCAGGGTCTCGAGTCTCCGTTATTTCAATTGAGTTTTGTTGTTTGACACAGCTGTTCCAGGTGGTGCCCATGTGGTGGGTAGTCATAGCAGCTGTTTTTACTTGTCCTGTGTCTAAAATATCACCACCTGTCTGCCTCTCGTTTCTTCATGTCAGCCTCAACTATTGCAACATAAAACAAACTTTTTTTGTGTTAGGTATTGAGGATACAAAGAATTCTACCAATTCTTCAGATTTCTTTACCAACCTTTTCCTCTGGCCTAAGAAGAAAGGCTTAAAGGAAATCAGTCTAAGTGACTGAGAGTTGGAAATTGCTAGACCTACTAATCCTTTGTTGTAAATGATGAAATTTTGTCTCTTGGTTGATTTGCTTTAAGAAGCTCTTTTTCTATTTCAGCAGTTGGAATTGATCACACCTTTTCAGTTGTACTTCAATCCTGAATTAATCTTTAAACACTTTCAAGTAAGTGGTTCATCACAATAGTGATTAATGCTTCAGTTTATTCCTTTTCTTACAGTTTAGTAGCAAATCCTGTTACATACTAGCCTAAGAAAGAACCCAGTGGGGACCTTTGATTATCATTGTTTTGTCAGGATATAAAGCAGTGATTCTGCAACCTGGTTGGACTTGAGAATCCCTTAGAGAACTTTGAAGAGATTCTCAAGTTCCTCAACAAGTACCAAGTCAGAATTTGGAAGGGTAGGAATTAAAATCTGTGTTTTATTTTTAAAAGTTCCCTGCATCGTTTTGATATGCCCAGTTCCTGTATTTGGATATCACTGGTTTAGAGTTAATGTTGTAGTTTGAGAGGAGACTGACCAGGTGGCTGCTTAGGGGTTGTCTCAAAGGGATGACCTTATTTTGTCCATTCACCACCTAGGCACACCCACCACCTTGGTGTTATCACCATGGTCCAGAAACTCAATTCTGTTAATGCTTTTAAATTGTGATCCGTCTTCCAGGGATCAGATCATACTAACAAAATTCCAAAAGACCAACATCTAAAGCAGCATGGTGGTTTATTAGATTACAGTGGGAGATAGTCCTTTCCAGTGATTAAAATGCTAACAGCAGCCAGGCGTAATGGCTCACGCCTGTAATCCCAGCATTTTGGGAGGCTGAGGCAGGCAGATCACCAGAAGTCAGGAGTTTGAAACCAGCCTAATCAACATGGTGAAACCCCGACTCTACTAAAAATACAAAAATTAACCAGGCCTGGTGATGCATGCCTGTAATCCTAGTTCCGGGGGAAGCTGAGACAGGAGAATCACTTGAACCCGGGAGGTGGAAGTTGCAGTGAGCAGAGATTGTGCCATTGCACTCCAGCCTGGGAGATGAGCAAAACTCTATCTCAAAATAAAGTGCTAAAAGAGAGATGGGATTTCCTGTTCCAGGATGATCTTACAGACCATAGTTGGAGTAGGGGAGAGACCCAAAAGCCAATAATTGTGCCTCTACCCATGCTGTCCTCTCTGTCTCAGTTGTGTTTCATTCACTTTATACCTGTTGAGCTCTAGCTTGCCTTTCAAAATGCAGCTTTTCCGTAACCTTTATGTACCCATCCTCCTTTGTTTTAGAGCATCTCTCACCTTTACTTTGCAGTTATTTACATGCTTGTCTCCTCACTAGGATGAGGACTGTAAAATCTGGATAATTGATATATAGAACTAATTGTTTCAACATTAATAGTTACCAGTTCTCAAGAATTTAGTGATTTGTAAAGCAGTCCTGTGATCTCTTGTCACTCTGTTCCCACAATACTCACATGGAGCTGTAGTTCTATCCAAGTAAGTCTTACTTCCTACTTGGCTTGCTTGGCTTTACTTTGCCTGGGGTTAAACTCTTGATGACACTGCATTTGGAGTTAGGAGTTCTAGATTTGCCAGCAGAGTCTCCCTCTACAACCTGTGGGTCCTTGGTCAGTACATTTAAAAGTTCAACTTTTAGTTGAATAACTAGCTAGTTATTCAGTCAGTTTCAGTAAGTCTTTTAGTTTCCTATCTGTGAAATGGGGGGTAGCCTCCTTGTCTCACAGGATTATTACGATCACAAGAGGTAGTAGAAATTTTTAAATGTTAAATACTCTACCATTGTGAGTGAATACTGGGGGTGTGGAAAGGCAGGGAAGGCTGTATCAGGGTTTCCAACAAGAAAATGAGTGTTCAGCCGGGCACAGTGGCTCACGCCAGTAATCCCAGCACTTTGAGGGGCCGAGGTGGGTGGATCATTTGAGGTCAGGAGTTTAAGACCAGCCTGGCCAACATGGTGAAACCCTATCTCTACTGAAAATACAGACATTAGCCAGTTGTGGTGACATCTATAATCTCAGCTACTCAGGAGGCTGAGGTAGGAGAATCACTTGAACCTGGGAGCAGAGGTTGCTATAAGCCGAGATCACGCCGCTGCACTCCAGATGGGGCGACAGAGCAAGACTCTGTCTCAAAAAAAAAAAAAGAAAAGAAAAGTAAATGAGTGTTCTTGTATCTCCCAAGTAGACTATAATTATTATAGCATTAGTTCTTGCAGGGAGTTGGTCATTTGTTCAGACTAGAACTTGGATATTTGCCTTAGAATATTCCTTTCTGGCCAGGTGCAGTGGCTCACACCTATAATCCTAAAACTTTGGAGAGGCCAAGGTGGATGATCCCTTGAGGCCAGGAGTTTGAGTCAGCTTGGGCAACATAGTGAGAATCTGTCTCTGTTTTTTAAAAAAAGGTTTTTTTCTTCTTTATAGATGACTCTGTCTTGGATACGTTAAAAATTTTTTAATTAAAAATCAAAGAATTTTCTTTGAGATGTTTCTGACTGCCTAATGTAAACATTTCTCAGCAATTTATATTAGACCCTGAAGTTTTTCTCTGGTATGTCAGATCTATTGATTATATGATGATACTACATATGAAAGCACTGTTTTCTGTTCAGCAAATTAACCTAGTATTTCTACCAAACTTTCTCCATAAGACAATCACAATTTAAAATTTTCTGTCCTATTATAAATCTCACAGTCCCAATGATGTCTTTCAAACTTTTAACTAAAAGCAGCAAAAATCGAACATCGGATTGTATGCCCTCATTTTGTTTCAGAACAGAATATCACTCTGTCCAAGGCTTCTCAACCATCATAGTCATAGGATGTGTCTTTTGTATTCGTATGGAACTGTTTCCTGGTTAATTTATTTGACTTAATACATCTTTCTCTTGATTTCTTTTTTAACAGATATGGAGATTAATCACCAATTTCTTATTTTTTGGGCCAGTTGGATTCAATTTTTTATTTAACATGATTTTTCTGTATCCTTTATTAAATGGGGTCAACATCAAAACTTTGTTTTCTTAGGAAGTAAAAGATTAAGTGGAAACTTTTAATCCTGTTATTTGTTTTTGGTACCATCTTAGCTATAATATCTGGATCAGTGGTACATAGTACATAAAGTAGTTGGTTGGGTAGTAATGTTTTGAAAAGATTTGTAGGTCGCTGTTCAAATGGGAGGTTTTAACCATAAAAAGATACCACTTCTACTTTTTAGTTGCTTACAAATCTGATCAAGGGAGGGGAGAAGTGATTTAACTAAGGTATATTTCCACAGTAACATCAACAGGTACAAAGTGGTAAAACAACCTGAATACAATGATAATTTAGCAGAATTTGGGCATAAGTTTTAAAGTAGGTTCATGAGGAGTGGGAATTTGTGATCTCCTTGGGTCCTTGTTGCGGGAACTACTGGCTGAAAGAGTGGTGTGTCTGCCGGGCTTGTCAAGTTCCAGTTTGTTGAAAGAGAGGGAAACCCCAGCTCTGATCAATGGCAGTTGGGGCCATGGAGCACGGCATTCCTCCTCCACCCCTGCCCTTTCTGTTAAGAAGGAGTTACAGTTCAGCTCATCTGCAGCTGCATTCCTTCCTGAGGATGGCAGGAATCCACTTTAAATCCTGTTTAGGATATCATTCTGGTAAGTTTCCAATAAAATTTTTTCTCATCATAATTCATCTTTATTGACTGAGGTGCTCATACCAGGTCTGGAAAAGTAGTTTAGCACACAAGGCTTCTTGCTACGGATTTCTTCCAAGTTAGGTTGTGGAAAAGCAAAGATGGTGCAGATTAAGGTGCAGCTGAGCACAGGAAAGACTGTACAGTTTTTTAAAGGTTTAATAGGAGACAGGAAGCACATCTGTATGTTATGTGGATTAGTTCCCAGCT